GTGCTAGACCTTGTGACTTATTTTCGTTGAGTATAGGTAATACCCATATTTGAGGATTAGTCAGTTGCTTTCCTATTAACATCAACATTGGAAAAAAACAAAAAAAAAAACTCAAGTTAGATTTCATATAAAAATAGGGTGAATATTCTTTATTTTGCAGCATTCAAACAAAGGGTACACAGAACAATGAAAAATTAGTTCCATGACCATTACAAAACAAAGTAAATTATTAAATAAGTAAGTTACAGTAACTAGACCAAGACCCCACTTACATTTATTGTGCATCCACTAACATCAGTCCTATTCGAATACCCTAATTGTTTTTACATAAAAGCACTTTTATTCAAACCAAGCAGATAATACCTTTATAAACTTTATTATTTTTCAACTGAAATATATTTGGCATATAACACTGTAAATTTAAGGCTATTAAACAGCAGGTTAAGTTGATACATTTTTATACTATAATATGATTGCATTGTAGCAATTCACACATCTGTCGCATCACTAAATATCCTTTCTTTCTGGTGATTGACATAACTAAGTTCCATCCTCTTAGCAAATTTGACATGATAAAACAATGTTGTCCATATTCACTATGCCTCTAATTAGTTCTCTAAGTCTTACTACTTGTTGCAAGTTTGTATCCTAAAGAGCTATCTGTCCTGTCCTTCTGGCCCCCTTCCCATGGTAACCACATTTTATTCTCTGTTTTTATGAGTCTGGCTTTTTTAGATTCCATGTAGAAGTGAACCACACAGTACTTGTCTTTTTCTGTCTGACTTATCTCATGGAGCATAATGTGCTCAAGGTCTATTGATGTTCTTATAAATGGCCAGATAGCGTCCTCTCTAATGACTGAGTGATAGTATTTATAAACATTAATTAATATATTATTACATATAGTATATTATTATACATAGCATATATATTGTAGTATATAATATACACATACATATATCTCACATTTTTTTAAAGCTTTATTTATTTATTTATACAAGCACTGGGTACCGTCAGAAGCACAGGAGAGAATTCACCAGAGCCAGAGTGGGGAGCAGAACAGGCAGACTGACGAAGTACACTGCTGAGGGGAGCAGCGGGCACAGCAGGAGAGGTCTGTGCAACATGTGGGACCCTTGCTGGCAGCCGGGGATCGAACTGGTGCTGCAGAGACTGCAGGCAGCTTCGCAGCCCAGCACTCAACCACTGCACCACTGGAGAGGCCTCACATCTTCTTTATTCATCTTTTAAGTCTTTGATAGGTCTGAGGTTGTTTCCATAACTAGGCTATTGTGAATAATGCTACAGCTAACATGCATTTGCAGATATCACTTCAAGATTCTGTTTTCATTTCCTTTGAGTATATATCTAGAAGCGCAGTTGCTAGGTTATATGGTAGATGTAGTGTTAATTATTTGAAAAACCTCCATATTTTCTTCCACAATGGCTGAACCAATTTACACTCCTCCAGCAGTGTCCAGGTCCTCCATTTTCTCCATATCCTCACCGACACATTATCTCTTCTTGTTGACAAGAGACAAATCCATTATTTAATGGCATTTACTCATTATAAAATTCCTATGAATTCGTTATTTTTATATCCATTTAAAAGATAAGCACATCAAAGTCTCAGAGATGAAAAATAACTTGGCCTGATGCCAGACAATTATTACTAAGTGCTTTAAAAATATTGTGCTAGAATTGGCATGTGAACTCGACTTTTCTGGCTTGTGTCTAGTAACTTCCCACTATACACACTAATGATACTGCAGTGCTAATATTTGGGCTTTTGCTTCATTCTTTAGATCTCTTCATACACATACATACATTATTTTGAAATATGGCACGGAATATCATATAATCATCAAAATGGCATAATGATGAGCCACAAACTCTGTGTCACATATGTTGGTCTAATTCCTGCTCCACACTCCCTTTCCCCCTATAAATAGTAGGAATGCTGTGCCACTGTAATTCTCCTAAGCCAAGGCTTCTTATCTTTGGTACTATTGACACTTTGGATTAGAAAATTTTTTGTCATGGGTAATGTGTGCACTGTAGCCACATTCCTCTGTCTGCTTCTTGCCAGTAGGTTCATCCAATGTGTCAATTAAAAAAGTCCCCATAGTCATTGCTAAATCTCCCTGGAAAACAAAATTGTCCCTGTTGAGTATGACTGCTCTCTATTCCATATGAAAGTAACTACATTAAAGTGTAGCCCTCTATTTAGTTTCTTTCCTGCATACTAGGGAGTTCAAGCAATGAATTACCTTGGTGTTATATAGTCAGAACTAGTCAGGCTACACTGTGGTAACCAACAGTGCCCAAATTGGTTGCCACAGCCATGAGCTCTCCAGGGAAGCTGTCTTTCTGAGTTGATTTAGCATTTCAGGTAACTCAAGACTCCCAGCAGCTTGGCATCCACATGTGCTTCCAGACAGAGAGAACATGGAGAATCATACGTAAGGTCTCTAATACCTCTGGAAGTAACACAAGTTGATTCAGCTTACTTTTTTTTTTTAAGATTTATTTATTTATACAAGCACTGGGTATAGTCAGAAGCGCAGGAGGGTGAGAGAATTCACCAGAGCCAGAGCAGGGAACAGAACAGGCAGACTGATGAAGTACACTGCTGAGGGAAGCAGCGGGCGAAGCAGGAGAGGTCTGCGCGCCATGTGGGACCCTCGCTGGCGGCCGGGGAGCAGTTGGGGATCAAACCGGCACTGCAGAGGCTGCGGACACCTTTGCAACCCAGCGCTCAACCACTGCGCCGCCAGGGGAGGCCCATCAGCTTACTTTTTGACAAGAGCAAATAAAATGGCTGTGACTAACTTTGAGGTGAGAGGAAGTTGAGTTCTTTGTGCTGGACAGGGGTGATGTGGAGAACCAGTGATCATCCGTGATGTCTGCATTGTTATCTGATAACGTGCCCACACACCCTATATGGGACCTGCAATGTTCTATGTGACATTGTTAGTGTGCAGGATGAGAGGTACCCAGGGACCTCCAAATCTGCACACTGTAAAAAGTTTCTGCCACCTACCACATAAAGACAAAGCATACTCTTAGTGTGAAAGAATATTAATAGGATAGTGTGCATAGCAAGAGAAGAAAGAATAATAGTTTCCTAAAGAAACACCCAAAGTTTCCCATCCCCTCCTGAGTAAATGCCCAGCCAAAAAGGGTTGACCCAAAGTGGGGCCACTGAGGCCCAAAAGCTTCTCACAAGTCTTGAGGCACCTTCTGGTGGGGACCTATAGGAAAGGGGCGAAAGGGACCAGGCAAGTCTGGGGTAAAAGGAGCAAAATCAAAGTGAAAATCAAGGTAATGGGTTTCTCCCCTATGTCTCTTCTGAGAGTCTCTACCTGTCTCTACTCCATGTGTCTCCTTCCATGTCCCCCAAGTCCCTGGTGCAAGTCCAAAGCACAGAAGCAAGTGGGTCTTCTTCATGTGTCTCTGCTTCCCATGTCCCCGCCAGTCTTCACCTGAAACCCTGCTTCCCAGTCCCTCCAGCTTCTCCTCCTGGCTCAGCTCCATCCTAGGTGGAGGTAGGTAGGGCCAGAACCTGGAACCACCCCATTTTATGGAGATTACACAGTTACAACATAATTCAAATAAAGTTTGAATAATAATACCCATTAGTTCTTGAGATAATGTACAGATGTGAAAATAACTATTGAACAAAACAATATATACCATATACAATAGATTATTATGAAATGCATTAATTTACATATTTATTTAGAAATATTTACATTTTATGCTTTTAAGTTTCCAATTAAAGAGTGTGGCGGGCCTCCCTGGTGGTGCAAGGGGTTAAGTACTGCTCTATGAAGCAATCCACAGCCTCTGCAGCACGAGTTCAATCCCTGGCCGGCCAGGGAGAAACCCACATGGCGCAGCAGACCTCTCCTGACTCTCCTGCTACTCCCCTCAGCAGTGTACTTTGGTCAGTCTGCCTGTTCTGTTCCCCACTCTGTCTCTGGTGAATCCTCTCACCCCCCACACCTCTGGCCTGTGCCCCAGCTCTTATATGCATAAATAAATAAATCTTTTTTTTTTTTAAAGAGTGTGGTATGTCTATTTGTTGTTGTTTTTTTCATAATGGTTCCATTAAAATTTAAGGGTTCTTTCTGGTTAGATGTATTCTTAGATGCTTTATAGTTTTGTTATTTTTGAATGATATCTACCCCTCTGCCTCCCCCACCCCCATACATGCCCACGTACACTTCGCTTCTCTCTGGCTAAGGTGAAAAGGTATTTGATGTTTGTATATTTCCCCCATCCAGATAGCTTAGTCTTAATACTTTGAATACTTTGCATAGCTTTTGCAATTGAATCTTTAGGGATTTGGCTTCTAAACCAGCAGGATCAATATTACCTAGAAACTCATTAGAAATATAAATTCTTGGACTTTCCATCCAGATTTCTTCTTATCTTGTATCATTAGAGGAAACATGTAGAGCTGTGCTGAGTACTAATGGAAATAATCTTGACTTTGATTTTACTTGAAAGAAGTTTGTGGCATGTCAGTTGCTGGTATTCAGCATGTACAAAGGTCTCATACTACTTAAATTTTTATATAGAATTTTTAACAGGAACGACTGTGGGATTTTAGCAAATGTTTTCCAGAATGTACTGATATCATCATGAGAATTTTGCCTTTAATTTGTTATCATTTGAAATATATGTTGATGACTTCTTTAATGTTGAATGATGTTGAACCATACATTAATTGAACAAAGAAAACTGTTATATTGTGAGACTTAGTTTGCTTATACCTCTTTCCTGTCATTCTTGTTAACCGGATTATTTATTTTCCCCAAAACATTACCCACATTATTTTCTTTCAATAATAATATTGGTTCTCATATTGTGGCTATATCTTCTTCTGTGCCAGATTTAAAGGTTAATTGCATTTTAATACTATATGTTTTATGCATCTCTTCAGACCTCAAATTATCACAACAATAATAGTTGACTCCATGTGTTCTTATTAGAATTCTACCAAATATCTGGCTAGGCAGCTGCCCTCGCCAAGTGGAACATGTAACCATCAAATTGAAGCATGAATTGGGGATTACAGCTGTAATGAATTTCCAGACCGAATGGGATATCGTACAGAATTCCTCTGGCTGTAACCGCTACCCAGAACCCATGACTCCGGACACTATGATTAAGCTCTATAAGGAAGAAGGCTTGGTCTACATCTGGATGCCGACACCAGACATGAGCACTGAAGGTGAGTGAGAAGAACCTGTTTGGCTCCTTGCTGAGTGTGTTCCAGCGAAGTCCTTGCTGTTTGCCTGCCTGGCTCTATCTATCTATCTATCTATCTATCTATCTATCTATCTATCTATCTATCTATCTATCTATCTATCTTTCTATCTATCTATCTGTCTACCTACCATCTCCCATCCCCCTCCCTCCTTTCTACAATCAAAAGACTGAAATATAAATGATAGAAGTGGAATAAAAAAAATGCTTTAGGTTTAATATGTCTAATATATATTTTTGACACCTCGACTGAGATTCTGTTCAACTTTGATTTGTTTACTCAAGAATATATTTATTGTGTATCTACTGTGTGTGTGTGTGTGGCATTGGTCTGGAAGCTGGGAGTAGAACAATGCCAAAAAGCAGAATAACTGTATGTTCCTCTTGGAGCATATAGCCCTCCAGAAAACACAAATAGTAATCAAATGGCTATAAACAGAAATTTTAAGCCATGATTTGTTTTGGTTAGAAAGATGCATAGACATTGCTGAGAGCACGTGCAGGCAAAGTCAGCCTAGGAAGGAAGGTCAGGGAAGATTTTCTTGGGAAGTAATGTTTGAGGTAAGATGTGAAGAGAGGGTGGGAGTGGGGTGAGGTCAGCTCCTGGGCAGGGGGAACAGCTTGAGGAGACTCCCTTTTGTGTAAAGCAGGGAGTGTTGTTGGAATTGAAAGGTGGCCTAGCTGTTCCTGCTCAGGGGGTGAGGGAAGAGGGAAGAGGGTGTCACAGGCCGGGGCCATATTATGGACATAAGACCATCCTAAAGCCTGGAGAGGCAGGTGGAAGGGCAAGCGTTCGGGAGATGCCAAAATAACCGATTTTCCTCCCAAGTGCTCTTTGACTGCACTGTGGAGAATGGACTGGAGGGGAGCCCAGAACAGATTCGGAGAGCCCAGGTGGGCTGTAATAGTCACTGTAATAGTCTCTGAGCGCTCATGAGACAGGTAAGGCAGCTAGGGGTCGGAGGCCCACAGGGGGCCTGTTTATGCCCAGTACAGGCTGAGCTTGTCATTGTGAGGAGGGAGTATGGTGGGTGACGTGGGTGCTGTCCAGGCAACAGAGACAAATAAGGCATCATTTTCATCTAATTCAGTTAGACAAGTTCAAAACTAATTGCAGAACAGAGAAGCCTGTGATGAGAGGAGTGAGTCATGTGCTCGAGGAGGGCCTGGCGTGGGAGGAGTACTTTCTGTGCTACAGGTTACAGGAGAGGTTACAGGAGAGGTTATGAGAGGTTACAGGAGTGTCATGGCCTATGGGGTGAGCATAGCAGGTCGATGTGGAGGGAGGAAGTGCATGCCAGGTGGAGGAAACAGCATAGGTCAAAGTTCAGAGGAATTTTAAAGGAAAGATCTGTGTTGCAGCTGGTTCAAGAGTAGGGTTCAGGAAAGGAATGGAGATAAATGAAGCCAAGAGAACCAAGCTACACCAGTAGTATCAACCAGCTGTCAGCAGAGGGCAGCAGAGAGCCATGGCACAGGCTGCGGGAATCTGGTGGTTACCATTCTGGGGGAGAGGTGGCAGGAAAAGCTTTTATCATCACCCTCTTACCTCCAGAGTTCATTATGCATTCACTCATTTAATTTCCACAATACTCAGGGCAGATGTTACGGTTGCCCCCATTTTGCAGAGGATGGTACCCATGCACAAAAATCTCAGGTGGTCCTCCCTGCAGGCTGGACCTTACCTGTCACTGGGAATGAGGCACAGTTGTTTTTTTTCCCAAAGTGAGGATGGCTGGTCACTCCTCTTTGTAACACTGACCCCAAAATGCTTGATTTAGACATGAGTTCTGTCTTTTTTTCAAAGAAAACAAAAGGAAATTTTATTTACATAGAAGAATCTAGATCATGTTTGCCTTGTCCAGTTTGTTCCCCTGGTTTCAAAACAGAGAAGGCTGTTGGGACAGTGAACTTGTGGCTTCCAGAGTGTTTCGATTTCTGCTTCTGTGATTCAGGTTGTCTGGCATTGTTACCCTGCTGGAGTGATGTGAGCTGCTAACTATGGTGCTGGCAGTGACTGCCCTGTGAGGAGGGGTTTGCCTGATAGTTTGGGTATGTGCAGAAGCTGGAAGGGACTTACCATCCCCAGAAAACCCACTGCAGTTGTGTTGAAGCCTTTTGTGGGGTCACAGAGTGACCAGGCCCCAAGGTAAGGGTGGGACATCTCCCATGTGGAGGCACCAGGAATGACAGCAAAACGAAAGCGTCACCTCAAAAAAGATGAACTCTAACACAGGGTGTCTTTGCTTCAGGATGACCCGGAAGAGTCATCAAAGGGTTAACAGCCACAGGGGACTATTTGACCAATAAATCAATCTACATGGCTCACAATATTAGCACCATGAGCATATAGATGAATTCAGATGAATATTTTTAGAACCACAGAGCAAAATCCATCTGGAAGTGCTTGGAGCTGCCACAGAACACTGTCAGAGCCGAGGAGGGAGACAGTTTGTTAGGCCCGACTGTCACCGCTGGTTGTCACAGACCCGTTACAATCAATGGTGCTGTCGATCCGCACTGTTGTACATTTTGTCACAGGCAGTGGGGTTGGCTAGGCTTTTATCTTGCTCTTTTCTTTTTTAAAAAATTCTGTCTAGGTCTTTCACCTGAGAAACCAAAAGCTCCCAAATGTAGCACTCACCTGGAAAGAGCAAATCTGCTCAGTGACATTCCGTCTTCCCTCATGTTGGGGGTACTAAGGCCGTGCCTGACCTGTGTGGGTGCAGCGCCCTCCATAGCTAATGTCCTGTCCTCCTGCCCGAGTCCTCAGCCACCCCTTGCTCACGACGGCCTCAGTTCTCCCTCTGACTCAACACTCTGAATTCAGCTCAGCCAGGAAGCAAAGTCGTTGACTTTGGAGCCACACATCGGGGCCCAACCTTGTTACCACCCAGTAACTGTGAGGGGGACAGCCTCATTCCTGCACTTGGAAAATAGGGGTGATAGGATTGTGACTTTAGAATAGGATTATTGATGTGAAAGCACTTGGGAAAATCACAGAGTTGGGACTGTATTATTAGTCCCAGATCCTTGAGTTTCTACCAAAGGATAGTACAGGTAACATGGACCTTATCTTTATTATTTTGTAAAAGTGGAAAATTCTTTGCTCACATAATAGATTCAACCGCAAATTTGTCCCTGGAGTAAGAAAGGAAAGGGGTGTGTGTGTGTGTGTGTGTGTGTGTGTGTGTGCAAGAGAGAGAGAAAGAGAGAGAGAGAGAGAGAGTTTGAGAGGGAGAGAAGTTGTATCAGGAATGATTTCTTCAGGGCCAATCTCAAGTAAACTTTAGCTACCCTTAGGGTCTTCCCCCACCCCTTATTTCAGGCCTTAATATCTTAGGCTGCTGCCCCCACTGCTGTGTCTTTGTCTCCCTCTTCACAACCTCTGCTTGCTTATTGCATGCCTTTAGGAAACTAAATTACCCTGAGTTGGATTAGCCTGAGAAGTTGTGGACCAGAAGTTAGATTAGAGGGGTCTAGTAGTATCTTAGATCAAATTGATATTATGGGTTTTTTTTTTTTTTGGTTTTTAGTTTTGGATTTAACAAATGGTATTGAGCATCTACTGACAAGCACTGTCTTAACTCTAAAGTAAGCATCACAGAAGGTAGAGTGTACTGTTCAGCCTGCACAGGGTTTAAAATTTTCAACCAAATTGCCAATATTTAAAACATTTAAAATTTTGAATATTTCACATTAAAAAATTTGCATTTTCTGTCTTACTTGAGATATTATTAAGAGTGGAAATGCCTTATCAAATTAAATTCTATATGGAAACTAAATATATAAAGCATAAAATTTAGGGATTCTGCTTTGACATCAGTTTTATTTTGTGAGCCCTAATCCTGGAGCTCCTCTTTTTCTTCCTGGGTGGGACTATCATGCCAGGTGAGTGGGGTGCAGAGAGAAACTGAGACTTCAGATTGACAGCCAGGGTGCCAATGACCTGGTAGGTTAGGAAGGGACACTGGCATAGTGGTGAAGACCAGAGGCTTTGGAGTTAGCTAGCTGGCTTTAGTAGCCATTAGGGAATAACCTTGGGCAAACCTCTGTGTCTCTCTCCCTCGGATAGAAATAAAGGGTAATAACAGTAACAACCTCGTAGTTGTTCAGAGATGGCTGTAAATGAGCTATCGCATGCAAAGTGCTTAGGCATGTTAAGGCTGTCAATAAACGATATCATGAAAGTAAGGTGAGTTGCAGTCTCTGGATGTCGAAAGAAAGAAGGGCTGTAGCTGATGGGGGTGGGGTTGATTGCCACTTCCCTGGTGCCCCGTTATATTACTTATTTATTCTTTATATTATTTAAGTCTCTGTTCTCCTGTTCATACAGGATGACTGAGTGGTTCCAGGAGACCACACATGACCCTTCCTCCTGGAAAGGCCCTTTCCTCCTGGGTGAAACCTGTGTTTAAGTTGGAAGCCTCGTGGAGCTTTACATGGAAGCTGCCATTTTTCTTCCAGGAGTATGTGTCTGGAACCTTAAACTAGCACATATCCCTTTGCAACTTCCTTGTGTGTACCTATTGCAGAAGCTTTCCAAGATGCAAAGGAAAGAGGAGATGTTGTGTCATTTGGACCTTGGTGCAGACCTTCTTTAGGGCGCCTCTGGCTAGAGCATGTTGGGAGAAGGAGTCCTGGTGGGTCTAGGTGAGCCCTGACTTGGTCAGGTCACCACACTGATGCTGACAGCAGCATACCAGGGCTGAGGCTCGACTCCTGCATGGCCCCTGTGGCCTGTTTGTGTATCAGGCATTTGAAAAAAAACTCACACTAAAGACACTTATGTTTGTTTCCTGGCAAGGCACATGATAGCTGGAGCTGCAGTGCTAACAGGGAACTTGTGACATGATGCTGGGGCAGGAGCAAGAAGAACTTAAAGCTTCCCAGATCCATTCGTGGGCCTTCCGATCCCAGCCGGTACTTTTTTAAGTCCACAGCCTCCTGGTGGAACAAAAGCCCTGCACAGGCAGACCTCACTCCCAGCAGGCAGGTCACTCAAACATAGCTTAGAGGCCTGCATTCACTGCTTCCCGCACTCAAATTGTGGATCCACGGCTCACTTCTGTCCTTGAGATGCAGTGACACTACCCTCTGGTCCATGTGACTCTGCACACCTTGTGGCTCCAGCGATATTTTACTGTCTCTGGGAGAGTCCATGAGCGAGTGACACTGTGGTAGGTGCTCCCAGCTGCAACCTCAGTGCACGCTGAGACCCATCATGGAGACAGAAAGAGTTAAAGTCTGGGGCTCAGTTCAGACTCTGAGAAATCAAGGAACACATAGGAGCTGCCGTGTCTTCACATCAGAATCCCTGGGGACCAGGCAGGGAGCAGGGCTCGATGACATGGGGCACTAGGGAGAGATGGACTCTGAGGATCTGCAAAGAGAGCCTGCTGCGAGGCTCCAGCTAGACACCTTTAAGCTGCTGTGTGGAGCCTGCAGCCTTGGACCTGTTAGTTAGAGGGGTTCACAGAACACCAGCAGCAAAAGCAGAAATTACCCTGGCAGATTCCACTTAGTTCTCTGCTCCTATCACAGAGTGGGGTGAGCCACAGCAAAGGTGGAACCCCTCTGGATGTAGAGGTAACTAGAAGGTCTTCAGACACCAGTAGGGTTGTTGGTACCACGTGTCCTAAGGTGTCCTAACCCACCTGAGTGCCTGGGTTGTGCTGGCTCCTTCAGCCCTTGCATTTTAGAGGAGAGAAGCAGAAACTTACTTGAGTGGCTCTCAAGGGAAAGTTCCAGGCTTTGGTGAAGATATGCAGTGGAATGGTCCAGGGAGAGCTCCCCTGCCTCTCCATTCATCCTGTGGGGTGACGGTGTGAAGGCTGGATAGGGCTGGTCCGTGTGGCCCCTGGAGGATCCTGTCAGGGTCCTTGTGTCCCTGTGTGGTTGAGAGCAGAGAGGAGCTAGAGACTGTCAAGTCACAGGCAGTGGTTCTAATCCAGGGGTCTCTGTAGTTCCCCTCCTTCTGCCCTTACTGAAGCAGTTTATGCTGACCCTCAACCCCACCCCAACTCCAGGTAATAGCTTTGCCCTGAGAACTTTGAGCAGATCTCCGGGGGTCCTGGAGTTTGGTTTGAGGGAGGACGAGGGAGGCTGAATCTGACAGGCCTCATGTCCCTTCACCCTCCGTGTGATGAGATTTGTGGGTCTAATGATCATGACCAATCATGAAGTGATAGTAACTATGTGGACAGTAACAGCTCTGAACCCTCTTTAATGCTCAGTGCATCGTGAGGGAATAAATAAGCCCTCGGTTACCCCATGTGTCTCAGCCACTAAGTTCGTTATATGGGACGCATGTTGAATGAAGTGAGAGGACTGCTTTCCAGCCATTCTGTTTCACATTCACCTGCAAGATGCTTTTGGATCCAGGTGACAAAACCTGTCAGTTCTCTTTGAAATCCTCTAACCATCCCTCAGATGCAAAAACCCTGTCTTTTTTTTAAATATTTTTTTCATCATTGTTCATTTTTAACAATGTTTGCTTCCCCCCACCCCCTCAGTTGCAGTCCCCAGAGAATTTCCTTCACCAATGCACCCCTGTACCATCACCTCAGTCTTTCGAGGACCAGGCCAGGCCAGACTTTTCTGTGAGGGCAACCGCATGCAGAAGCTACTCAAAGGCACAGCAGGATGCAGGGCGGACTGGGAACTGACCCCTGGGGCCATGCTCTATCTACTTTATGGCTAGCGGGTTTTTTTTTTTTTTTCTTTGTATACTTTTATTTATTTTATTTTTTTATAATAAATTTTATTTTTATATTCCCCATACAATTGCAACCCCCCCATTCTGACCCCAATCCCTCCCCTCCCGCCCCCCACCCCCCAAAAAGTGTCTCTGGTTCATAGTTTTTTGTTGATTTTGATTTTCACTTTCTTATAGTTATTCATTTTCCTGGTCCCTTATTTAAGTTTTCTAGATTCCTGCTATGAGTGAGACCATCCGGTATTTTTCTTTTTCTTTCTGGCTTATTTCGCTGAGCATGATCCCTTCCAGCGCCATCCATGTTGCTGCAAATTTTATGTGTTTATCTTTTTTGACTGCTGGGTAATATTCCATGGTGTATAAACATCCATTCCAAAGAGCACCTGCACCCCTATGTTTATAGCAGCACTGTTTACAATAGCTAAGCTTTGGAAACAACCCAAATGCCCAAAAATAGATGACTGGATCAAGAAGATGTGGCTAGCGGGTTTTGAAAGCGTCTCACGCTGTCCTTCAAATCCGAGGCACAGAGCCAATGCCAGGCTCCCCGGAGGGGCCTGCAATCTGGCCGGGGCCCAGCGCAGCGGTGGGCGGGTGACTCACGCGTGTGCAGGTGACTCACACGTGTGCTTGCTTCCCCGCAGGCCGCGTGCAGATGCTGCCACAGGCCGTGTGCCTGCTGCACGCGCTGCTGGAGCGCGGACACTCGGTCTACGTGCACTGCAATGCGGGCGTGGGCCGCTCCTCGGCCGCCGTGTGCGGCTGGCTGCGCTACGTGCGGGGCTGGCCGCTCCGCAAGGTGCAGTACTTCCTCATGGCCCGGAGGCCGGCCGCCTACATCGACGAGGACGCCTTGACCCGGGCGGAGGAAGACTTCTTCCAGAAATTTGGGAAGGTCCGCTCTTCCCTGGGCGGCGTGTAGGGGGCCATCTGCCTCCGGAGGGAGCCGGGGTGATGCGAGGCCAGCGACCCGCCACCGAGATTCTGCAGGAGCTGAAAAGACTGGTCTCCCCCAGACCCCTCGGGCATGGAGCTGGCTGTTGTTAGGCTTTGGTTGAGCTGCACCTTTGAAATGTTGTGCAAAGGCAGTAAGAGATTGACATGGGAGAAAAAGCTGGAGCCTGGAGCAGGCCTGGGGTCTGGCACCGGGTGCCTGCAGGTGCCCGGCCTGCAGGGCTGCGCCGGCCTGCGCAGGCTTCCAGGTGCCCGGTTGCGCTGTCTGGTGGTGTGATGGGGCAGAAGAGAGCAGGGGGTTTGTGTGGATTTCATCACGCGTGTGCTCGCACTTGCAGACATGCGCACAGCTTTTCTGCTAAACTGAAAGGAAGTTGGAAAATGAGAATTGTCACTTGCTAAAGAAGGAAATGAGGGCAGAAGCCTGAACCCCGATGCAGCTAAGAGCTCGATATAATCAGAAAACGATGCTTTTTCTAGACTTTGCTCAGCACCGCGATTTGCAGTTGTGATCATGCTTTCCCAGGCGGCCTCTGCCTGACCACAGCCCAGAGCGGCTCAGAGGAGGGTTTTCTCTCTAGTTGTTGGCAGCTGAGGCGGGATGGGCAAAGATGCTGTTTCAGGCCAGGGCTAGTCGGGCGCAGTCCCTAACACAAGACTCCTTGACTCAGTGCTTTTTCGACTCAATTTGTTTTTCCAGCCAATCATGGTGAATTCAACTTCTCTCTTCTCAGAGTTGATACTCCTGCAGAGGTCCCTACGGTGAGAAATGAAGTGTTCCTGTCAGGTGTCAAAGATTTTTAAAAAGTAGATTGTGTCCCACCTAATTTGAAGGTGGTGGGTAGTCTCCTGGCCAGCTAAGTCATAGCTCATGGCTGCCCATATTATCAGAAGAGGGGACCCCACACACAATTGCTGCACAACCCAGGGATGATCCTCTTCAGCCCTGATACACCGCACAGCTACTCTAACTCTGGATGTGCACTTCACCCCCCCAGGTTCTGCAAAAATAGAGGTGAATGAGAGTTTGCCTTCCAAAAGCTCATAGCCTAGAAATAGCCCTGAGTGCAGTCAGGAAGGCAGGGCTGAACTATGGATGATGTGCTGGACTAGGGAAGAGAGGGGATCACCTGTTTTGGGCACTTAGGCGCTGGGTGCTTTACAGTCTTACCCAGTTTAAACCTCACAGGATATTGTGAGGAAGGTTTTATTTTCTCCATTGTATAAATGAAGAAACTAAGACTCACAGAGATTAAATCATCTGCCCAGACCAGATGGCAAATAAATAGATGAAATGAGTTACAAAGCTAACGTTGTTTGACTCCAAATCGGTACATTTCCTGTTAAAATACAATGCTTATTTATTTTTTGTTCCTTCTTTCCTTCCATAAATATTTATGGATGGAAATGAGAGGCTCTGATTTAAAAATTGTGGGGGATAGGAGACCACAAGCAGAGTTCCAGTGGCATTCAGAGGAGAGTGTCTTACAACTGTGGGACTCTGGGGACATGCGTTGGTTCTGGACAGAGAAGACCAACTAGAACACATATTTCCCTACAATTTTACAAATTTAGATTTATAAGCTAGGTTTGAATAATGTGAAGTCTAACTCCCTTGCTAAAAATAACTGGAGAAAACTATTGTATTCAAGTAGCAGATTTATAGTAACAATGTGTTGTGTGAAATTTAATCTTAAGAATGGAATATTTCTCTGTGTGTGAATTTCCTCAAGGTCTAAGAAAGCCAACTATGTAATTTCTACAAAGACATTTTGGGATGAACTTTCTTTTTGCTGTTAGGCAAATCAGTAAATCAGTTAAAGCTATTAAGGAATGTTTGGAATATCCTTTCTTTCCTCAATAAGTGGACTGTCCAATATATTTCAGAATCACCTGAAATTTTTGCTAAATAAAAGCATTAGAATTGACCTCTGTGTACAGAATTCTTTTAAATGATATTAATCTTGTCAGAAATCCAGAAGAACAAACTCTGTTCCCTTATTTGTAAAGGGGGCAGCCAGCTAAGCTAAATTGTTTTTTCCTTGTCACTCTTGCTTCCTCATTAGCTGATCAAAATTGTCAGTTACAGGACAAAAGGATGTCAAGTGTGAGGACACCACAAAGAAGTAAGGGCGAAACCTCCAGAGTGTGTCAAAGAAAATCAGAACAGATATCGGGTCATTAGCTGCTTGTCACTGCCATTAACAAAGTTTCCAGTCACAGGTTTTTCAGAGAACAGGCTGATCAAATAGGGATGGAGGGATGTGCAGTGGCTTAATATAGAAAAAAAGAAAACCGTATAATAAAGATGGGATGAAGACTAAAAAGGAAAGGTTGACAAACTTCTCTCTCATGATAACAACAATAATGGCAGTATTAGTAAAAGGAAGAACAACCGTGCAAGAACTTCATTTTTTTTTTTCCTTCCCTAAAGCCTTCTTCCAAAAACTCCCAATTTTGCTAATGGAAATATACTTCAGTTGCTAAGTTTCTAAACCTGTCATTCTGAGCTCCTTTCTTTCTTTCAAACATCACTTTTGATCCATCAGGAAAGCTGTCATTTCTCCCATCAAAATATCTATAAACTATGTTTTCCTCCACTGAGCATCCATGGTCAGAATCGAGGTAACCACTAGAAAGGACCAGAAATAGCCACTTTCCTGGTCTCCTTGACTCTCTTCTTGCCCCTCTGCAGCTCCCATCAATATCAAACCTCTCCCACTGTGGCCAGTGCACATCAGCTCATGCCACTCCTGTGCTCAAAACCACCAGGACTTGCCAGGCCACTCGGGGAGGAGGCGCTTCAGGTCCTGCTCACCCTGGCCCACTGCACAGCCGCACTGACCTTCTAGTTCTCTGAGTTTCCACACAGGCCCTAATTCAGGGCACTTTCGCTTGCTGCTCTCTCTGCCTGGATCTTGTTTCCCAAGCGTGCTCATAGCTCATTTCCAGTCCCTTTCCATGATTTCTTTCTGTTAAAAATCACTGTGCCCCCTTCAGCCCACCCTTTTCTCATCCTCTGCTTTATTTCTTTCCATGAAACCATTCCTGGCCAAGGTGTTACAAAATTTGCTTGTTTGTTTCATTGTCTGTGTCTTCTCACTACATTGTAAACTTCATAGAGACAAAAGCAATCACTGGCTCCTGAATTTATGCATTGGGTTTTCACATTTTAAAATTAGAATTCTCAAGCAGGAGTTTAAATGAAGGATACTTGAACGATGATTCGTGTGACGATCAGTGCATACTTAAAAATGGATTAAATTCTTGTGTAATAAAATTTAAATTCAAAAATCAAATACAAAACACATTTCATTTTTCAAAAATATTTATTTATGGATACAAGAACTGGGGCACAGGCCAGAGATGCGGGGGGTGAGAGGATTCACCAGAGACAGAGTGGGAAACAGAACAGGCAGAATGACTGATATACACTGCTGAGGGGCGAGCCAGGAGAGGTCTGTTTCACCATGTGGGATGATCCCTGGCTGGCTGGGGATGGAACTTGTGCTGCAGAGGCTGCGGATTGCTTCATAGTGCGGTGCTTAACCCCTTGAGCCACCAGGGAGGCCCACAAAATGCATTTTAAACATTCTTTGGTGGAATGAGTAGCTATGTTTTTTCATGTAAGAGCATTCAAAGCTTGGTAAAAAGGTATTTCTGTGTTTCATTTTATCTGTGTTCCACTGAAAAGCTCTTTTTTTTTTATCATCATCTAAACATGTCCATTTAATCTTTTTTTGTTTATCTTTGGTTCCTTTGCATTAATTTAATGTTGACCTAAAATATGTGTTTAGTAGCCATGATGGTAAGTAAGTACTAAACTCTGGATCTACTAGCTAGAGGATAAAATAGAGAGTCTACTTAAGAGTCCATAGAATGGGGAAAGCTTTATGCTTAAATACGTTGTGGAAGTTATCAGTCAGCCCAAAGGATGGAAATCCTATAGCACAGTGGAAAGACAGCTGAAAGAGTAGTTGGAAATGGAAAATGTGGGACATTTCAAGTAAGAGACAGGATGAATTCTACCTCTCTAATTATACCAGCCACTACATCAATATCACTGGAGGCAATCCTGCTTGCATTCAGGGAATAAGATTTCTGCCATTTAGTACTTAAACTATAAGCAATTGGTATAAAATGATGAGGATAGCATCAGAATGGCATGGATTACAAAGGAGAAAATCAGAACAGGACAGCGAAAGACTAGAGAGCTGGATGGAGAACCTAAGAGATAATTGTCACTCACATACTTATCAACACTTGCATCAATTTCTAGTGAGAGTAAACTCAGAATTCATTGAAGGACATTTAATTTGCTGCATATGATTGTTTAAAAAATGAAATATATATTTTATGCCATAGAGACCCTTACCATTGCCTTCTTACATCTAAATGACAAATCCAAAGATAAATTCATGGTCTAGACAATTTCCGTGAAGATTTTGTACCCACTGTGATAAAACAAGGTATCTACCATTTCTTTTTTGTAAAAAAATATTTATTTCTGCATAAAAGAGCTGGAGTGTTGGCCAGAGATGTGGGTGTGTGTGTGTGAAAGGATTCACCAGAGACAGACTGGGGAGTAGAACAGGCAGATCCACTGAAATACACTGCTGAGGGGAGCAGTGGGCGAGACAGGAGAGGTCTGCCGTGCCATGTGGGTATCTCCCTGGCAGGGGATCAAACTCGTGCTGTAGAGGCTGCAGATTGCTTCATGGTGCTGAGACTTAACCCCTTGCATCACCAGGGAGGCCCCCATCTACCATTTCTTATAGAATGTTGTTCAGACAAAATTTATGCCTACCCATCATCTCAGTGGGATAAGCCATTTCTGTTTATTGTGTTTACTGATATATTTGGACATGCTATTCTTTGTTCTTTATTTCAGGGTGTTTCTGCTTTTTCATACCTTATTTTCTCCTTTCTTGTTTTCACTTTTGCCTTTTATTATTTCTTCCCTCTTACAAAGAAAGTGCTTTAACACTGACTTGTTG